AAAAGAGCAGCAGAAGACGTCTAAAATCAAGCTACAGATACAGATACAGATACATAGATAGATAGATACAGCTACATTTATTACAGCGAAAATGTAAGAAACAAAATTACTTGTGGGCGAAATCTACTTTGCCACGCCCCAACGCGCCAATTAGGGCGCACTTTAAACCCAACTTGAGCAACAAATATAAAACAATAAAAAAATAAAAAATAAATCAAATAAATAACATGCCATATTCATAGGCATTGCCGCATTCATTGATTCTTATGTAAGCGGCTTATAATTTTTATTTTTCTGTTTCTTGTTTTTTGTTTTTTCTCTTTCTAGAAAACTGATTTCGTTTTGTTGTTGGGCGTTGTTAAGCTTGTGTGGGCGTTGTTTGTTGTTTCCCCGGTTCTTGTTGTTGTTGTTGCTTTAGAAATTATATGAAATTTTCAGCGTAGTTGTTGCCAAATGGAAAATGTGTGTTTTCTGGCACTTGGCTCGCAAAATTATAGATGATTTTTTTTTTCAACTTTTGTTTTTTGCTTAGTCGTGCACAAGTATCTAAAATGCTTGAAGATAAAATTTGAAACTGATTTAAAAATTAAGCTGGCCCAAAGCGTTGAACAAATTGAAGTGAAGCGTGAGTGTGGACAATCAAATGCTTTTCACTATGGGAAACAGTTTTAACCGAATTAGGCTGTAGGCAAAAAGAACAAGGTCTGAGCCTAGATGAAAATACAAACATGAAAGCCTTTTTTTTTTGTAAAATGTCTTAAACATAAGCAGTGTCCAATTTGTGAAAGCTGCTTGGGAATTGCAATTTGTATGCTACTTTAACAGACTGCACATAAATTTTAGACATTAATAAAACTATTCAAAAAGAGAACGAAGGGATATCTTCAGCATGATGTAGATTTTATACCCTTGTAAATATGAGAGAATAGTGAAATTTGAACCTTCTTTTCGATCGATCGAAATAGGGTCGATTTAGTGCACATTTCGTGATGTTATTACAAAATCAAGTCAAGTCTTTTAGAAGTAACATTTATCTATATGTACTTATTAATAGTATTTTATTTTGGATTATTTCTCATTTAATTTGATTTGCTGCGAGAATAATCGTAAGTTTTTATACATTTTGATTCAGCCGTAATTTATTATAGCTTTATGCTTTTCATTATTTTATTTTATATTGATTCATTTTGCAGCTTACTTAGTTTTTATTAATATAACATTTATTTAATAAACTATATGACATTTTTATGCATAGCTTCCACTTTTATTCCTAGGCATTAGTGTATGTAACAAATATTTGTATTTTATTGCTCCAATGCAAATAGATTATTATTACGTTTAAAATTTGAAAAATTAGAAATAAATAATTTAACTAATGATGTGCCTTTATTCTGCAGATCTCTCACGTTCATTCCTATTTTATTGCTCTTATTATTATTTAATTAAAGTTGATTGTAATTTTTAGATTTGTCTATAAAAAACGACTGCAAACCTTATAAAAATATACATTTTACTTTATCAAGGCAACATTTATCAAACTTTGGGCAGGATTATCCAAGCAGCAATTAGGCAGACGCATGTAAGCCGCAAATCTGTTGCGACACGTTCAGATACAAAAGTATCTGAAAGCCCAAAAGCCGAGTAACTAGTCGAACTTTTAGTTTAAAGGCAATGCACAAACAATTAAAAGTTTTAACACTGTTTGCGCAGTTGTTGTTGTCGCTTGTGGCTTGATTTGACAACAAAACGCAGCAACAGCAATTAAATTGGTTTTTGCTTTTGTTGTAGGCTCATTTCAAGACGAGCGCAATTAAAATGAGAAACTTTATTCATATTGTCGTTGTTTTTTGTTGTTTTTGCTGTTAGCCACACTAATTGCGATTGACAAAAGTGAAAGTGGGAGCGCAAGGCGAGCAAAACATTCAAAAATTAATAGATTTATATGAGGTACTAAATAAAATTGAAAAAAAAAATAAATATATGTGTGTATATACTGCACTGCCTGTTGCCTGTTATTACGTGGGCGCGAACACAAAGCCACGACTTGTTGTTGGCCATTGATAAACAAAAAAGAAACAAAACTAGGTTTTTATTTTTCTGCTTGTTTTCTAGGCCCGCACAAAGCCTTTGGTTTGTCTACGGTTGATGAGTAATTTACAGGCATTTTTCTATGCCAACTTTTTTAGACGCTGTTTGTTGCATATCTATTGCTGCCTCTGCCTCTGCCTTTGCCACTGAAATAGTTTCAGTTTCGGTTTTGAGTTTTTCAACTTGCCATGAAATATGAAACAACTTTATTTCATTGTCAGTGGGTCTGTGTGGTTGGAAAAACCGGCTAGGCTGGGGCCGGAGCCAGGCCCAAAAAAACAGCCTAGCGCGTTAGAAAAATGAAGAAACAAAAAAAATGGTAACGAAAACGAAACCAAACGAAAGTGAAAGTAGGCCAAACTCATCAGCGTGGCCGAGAGAGGCTTCACTGTGCTTGGGCTCTGTGTTTGTAGGCCTAAACCCAAAAACCGTTTGCACTCGTAACTCTATCTGAAATGTCTGTCCCACTCTGATACTCTACCCCTCTCTTTTTTGCATATATTTATTTCGCTTTCGTGGAGCCGCAATTTTGCGTCTTTGGTTTATTTCACTTTCGTTTTCTGTTGCCGCATCAAAGAAAAGTGAAAATTATGCAGTGAAAATGTTCAACAGACGTTGCGTTGATTTAGTCATTAAATGCTGTTGCCTGTTGCCACTGGGAAAGTGGCATAAAATTCGAATGGATTTTATATACACACATATTTATGTGTATGTGTGTATGTGTGCACAGTGTAAATTGAGTTGAACTCAGGTCTTATATTTACATAACTATATATTTCGTTTTATCTAAATTATTGCCTAAGAAACCTGCTTATATGCGCCTAAAATATATAACAATTGCTTAAGCAGAGTATCTTCAAGACTTGCTGAGTTACCCAAAATAGTCTTAACTATTTATAAATCTATTTACAGGCAATTAAATAACCTGGAACGAAGGGCAACTGCAGCTGACAAAGTTTTAGCATAGTAATAAATAAATAATGTAGTAAATTATTTAAATGCAAAGTTGTTATCCCAACTTATACACTTAAAATCAAGACACAATTCTCCTGCAATTCACTCTTTGATTTCTCTTATTTATATTTAAGATATTGTTTATTGAATTGTTTATTTCAACTTTTATAAAGTTGTGTCCAACATAACGTAATAATACAACAAGTTTATCATTTAACAAAATGCTTCCTACAACAAATAACCTATTTCAACAATATACTAAGCTCCTTCAATGAATTCGGCTGCACTTTTATAACAGTAGTTACTCCAAATATATATTCTATCCCATGATCACATTCTATAAAGCTTAAGGAACAACTCCCACGCTGGCCGTAAACCCGAAATGGTCACAAAAAAATATAAAGAGACGCGCATTTGGTGCAAGTAAAATAAAATCGCCACAAATTTCCACGCGGCATTCAGTTTAACTAATATAAAAAAGTCATAAAATCAATTTCAATCAAAAGCTGAGAAAAACAAAAAAAAAAAAAAAAAACAAACAAATGAAACGAAATACCAAAACAAACTTGAGAAATTATGAGCGGCAATAGAAACGCCGAAACGATGTCGGCGAAAAAATATGCCACAAAAACCAAAAAAAAAAATCAAATTGAAAGCTATAAATCAAAGGCCGAAATATGCGCAAAAATATTTGAGAACAAGATTGAGCCGCAGACAATGCAGAGAATCTCAATCTGTCTCGCTCTCTCACGCGCTCTCTCTTTTCTTTCTCTCTCTCTCTCTCTCTATCTCTCTCTCTCGAATTTTATAGCTAAATTTGGTGGCAAGGTGTCGTAGACTTTGCGTGACCCGCCGCCGCCAGTTAAGTTGAAGATACATTTGTATCTGGAGTGTTTTGTTAGTTTGTCGCTACACTTGTATCTGTGAGATACACATGACAACGTCGTCGTCTGCCAGAACGTGCAATTAATGATTGCCGATTTCGGGGCGTGATGTCGCAATATTCAATGAGCTTCTAATGACTCGCACATGAGCCCATATATCATCTTCTGTATATTTTCTTGCTCGTCTCCAAATACAGTTAGATACTTTTTTTTGGCACAAGTCTAGACCAGGTAACTTACAGATACAGCAACAGCAGCTACCTAATTCTGAGACTGCGTGTCTTATAACATGTGATGTCTTGTATTTTTCCATTGCTTCAGGCATTTGGACGCGTTTGCTAAGGCATTGTTAAACAACCAAAAATTTAGATGGATGTGCGCTTTTTGACTAATGTTCAAATTATCCATATAAATTTGCGAAAGATTTGTTAAGAATTTTCTTAATTAACTCATTAAACTCTCAAAATATAAAATTTAATTTAAATAGACCAATATTGAACATATTTGAGAAACTTGTGATTACTCTATATAAGTTCTCCCCAATTATTCTACTAAGAAATACTCAATTTCATGAAAAAATGCAATAACGTAGCTACTTTTTTTGTCAAATACAATACTCAAAACTACTCATTCATTTTGATGCAGTACTTTGAGTATTTTAAATATAGCGTTGAGTGCGGTAAAAACTGTAAAATTTTCTCCGCAAAAGAACCTATTCTTTTAATTGAATCTCTTTAATATATAATACTCAAAACTACTCATTCTTCTAAAATACACTACTCAAAATGACTCATTCTCCTTAATGCTACTCTCCGAACGTTTTAACAAATATATTTATATGCTTTTTATGTGTTTTTGTTTTCCTGTGCTGTTACTGGCATTTGATGTGCTACTCCAGGCAGAAATCTTAGTAAATGCTGAGTGAGCCCTGAAGCTTCCTGAAGCTGACATATAAGACTCCAACTAGTCATTCATTCATCTTAATGCCACTTTGGCTTGTTTTATCTCAAGTTCTTTGTGCTTTCATTTCTCCCCCCCTTTTTTTTTTTTGTATGTTTTGTTTTGTGCACTTACCCTGCATTTTCGGCTGCAGCAATTGACATCTGTTGTTGGGGCTCATCTGTTAGCTGCAGCGTTAGATGTGCCCGTTGTTGTTTTCTGCTGCTGTTGTTGTTGTTAATGTTGTGCTTGTCGTTGATTTGATGTCTAACTGTGGGGGCTACACATAAAAACGCGCTACGAAACGTAAATGAAACACTGCAAAGAAAGAAAAATATACAATAAAATTTTATTAACATTTTTCTACAATTCTTTTTAATACTTTTATGGCATTATTTTATTTTTTTTTAACAAAACGTTGTTGGGCTTGACACAAGTTGCCGCACTCGACACTCGCACACTCGCACACACACACAACCACACACACTGGGAGCATTTTGCCTGGGGAAAAGAAGAAAAACTGGCAAAAGCAAATGCCAGCTGGCCACTTGAAGACTCAAGTTACAAGAACCACTTAGGGTCGAGCCGCCTTCGGCCCTACCCCGCAAATCTTCTTTGCCCCCGACTCCGCTCGCTTTATCCAGTTGCCCAAAAAGAAAAACCTACAACACCAGCGCGCAACCCAGGCGAAATTAGTAAAAGGCGCCAAGTGTGAATCTCTCTATGCAAAAAGGGGGAAGCGAAGAGGTCACGGGGTCGCAGGGGCAGACATTATGTAGGGGGCCTTTATGTGTTGCCGCTGGCCAAGTGCAAGTTTTTCATTTCGGCAAGCAAGGGTTAATGTTTTGGGGCTTATGTCTAAATGTATGGTAAAAAAAAGAGCACAGTGGTCAAAATCTGTATATTTTTGAAAAGATTTTTAATTTTATTTTATAAAGGATAAGATATGACTAAAAAAACGACACAGTAAAAAGATAACTCAAAAACTAGGCTAGGCTAAGTTTTATTACTTGGATAATATTTTAGTAAAAATTAAAAAAAAAATTAAATTGTTTTCATAACTAATTTGATTTATAATTTAAAGATGGGTATTAAAATATATATGTATATTTAAGTATTTTTGTTTTAACAATGTATTTCTTTTAATATACGTTATCCTCAAATTCTTTGTTAATTCCTCGTTAAATTATCTTAACTTTTCTAGACTAAAAGTATATAAAAACAAACCTTATTTCTTATTATATTTTTGCATAAAATTGAGAATATATTTTAAATAATTATTATTTTTTCACGGCAATATTTACTTATTCCGATTTGACAACTCCAAAGGTTAACCCTATATTAAACCCTCTTACAATGTGTGTGTGTGTGTTTGTGTGTGCGTGTGTGCTTTGAGCTTGAGAAGCTGCTGTTGAGGCTTTTGCTTTATCTTCTTTGCTTGTTCTTTCCTCTTATAAGCTCATCAGCTGCATAATCCGAATGTGAGACAACGCATTCAGTTGCTACGTCTGTCTGTGTGTGTGCGTGTGCGTGTTTGTGTGTGTGCGAGTATTTTTTCCCTTGTTGCCAACGTGTCGTATACTCAACGCAGCCACCACCCAACAACAACAACAACAACAAAATATTTGTTGTATTTTTTTTTCATATTTTTTATTTTGCTGCTGCATTCTTGTTGCCTTTATATATATTTTCGCACTGAGAGATACACATGGACAGAGAGAGAGCGAGAGAGGGAGAGAGAGAATGCTTTATTGTATTTGCTGTTTAAGCAAACAGCAACATTTGCTGTTGCACACACTCACACACACACACACACCCGCACGCACAACAACTGCAACTGCAATGCGTTTTGTTTTTGTTTTATTATTTTCTCTTATTGTTTTTGCCTTTGGCTGTGCGCACCCCCCCCCCCCCCCCCCCCCCCCTTTCTCTTGTCCACTTGCAATGCCTTGCCCTGCCCCGAGCAGCAGAAACATGTTTTATATAATTTCCTGTGCGCGTGGCACAAAAGCAGAAGCATAATCTCTGTCTCAGTCTCAGTCTTTGTCTCTCTCTCTCTCTTTCTGTCTGCCTCTTTCGCCCGTCTCGCTCTCTGGCATTCTTTTGTCATGTGTTTTTACTGATAATAATGCATTTGCTCTTGCTGTTGTTGTTGTCATTGTTAATAATTGTTGCTTTTTGTTGCGTTGTGTGGGCGCCTTTAGATATACATATACATATAGGTACGTTTATATATACATATATGTATCTGATATCTGGATACGTATGTATTATATATATTTTGTTGCACTGTGTAAATTGCATTTCATATATTTTTTCTTGTCTCTTGATTGATTAAAACAAAGCGCATTGTTTTCATCTTGTCAGCAAAACATAAACTCATCACATGTTCCTCAATGTGCATTTGTGGGCGTGGCAGCCAGGGAGAAACACAAATTGTAACTCGAGTATAGCATAAAGATTATCGTTTGACAAGTAATAAACAAGTTGTAGGGTTAAGTAAATTACATTTTATGTGATATTCAACAATTAATAGATGCGGGAAAAGAATTTTATCAGCAACCAGAAAGAAAAGATATCTAGCGGCTGCTAAAGATGAAAAGCATGTAAATTACACGTGCAAGGCTTAGCGAAGCTTTGGTGCAGCAGTCTGCTTTACCTGTTAATATACCCGCTGATTTAACCCACACACGTAGCTGGGTATTACAATCAGCGCATAAATCCCCAATGGCGCTGTTGGAGCATGTTTCGCTTGATCCCCACACAAAATCCAATGGCAGCACAACTTTTGAGAGTCGCTCCCAGGCTCTCGCAATTGAGTGTAATTTTAATTGAATTAAAATCTAAGCACGTCTGCGAAATATAAGAAATACTATAATTACGTTTCGACATGAGAATTTTCGCTGAAATCGCTCAACACTAAAACTACAAGCAAAAACAACAACCACAACAACAACAACAACAACAAAAGCTACAAAAACTTCTTGCGTTTCTAAACGGTGATTTAGCCATTAAGTTAACGGTAAAATGTGCAGAATCTTGCGCACAGACAAAGCTGAAGTAGAAGTTTTGCCCGCAATAAACCGCTGTTCAAGGGGGGGCGGGCGGACAGGCGCAGGTAGGCAATGTATCATTTTCGTATGCTCGCTTTGCGCCGCTCTTCGCCGTTGCATAACTGAGTGGCTCTCTCAGAGAGCGAGAGAGAGAGTGATGTTTCATATTGGAGCTTGCAATGAGTCAAACTTGCGCTCGCGAGTCGCGAGTCTTTTATGCTCAGGTTCTTGATGTTTTATTTTTTCTCTCATAAAACAGCCGGCAAATTTGTTTAGTTGTGTGCGTGGCTACGACTGCGCATTATGTAACCAGAACAGAGCACAACAACAACAACAACGGCGGACGATAAGGCAAAACCCAAAACCGAAATGCACATTCCAACAATTTCACTCAAGCGACAATCAAACAATTTGTCAATTCGTCATGCGCTCCAGTCACGGAAATACAAATAAGCGCAGCACCAAGCTGCGATATTATTAAGTATTTCTCTTCTTTTTTTTTTTCGTTATTTGTTTACTCCCGAAATTTACACGCAATAAATAAATACAACGCGCACAAAGAGCCTGCCAGGCAGTCAGCCAGGCAGCGAGTGTGGGAGAGGCAGAGACAGAATGAGAGAGAGAGAGAGAGAGAGAGAGAGGGAGGCAGCGAGTGAGCAGGGCAAACATTGGCTGGCTGCGACTATCAAAATGCGTTTTGTTTACGTTTTGCCTGCCACTCGATGCCTCAATGCAGTTTTTTTTTATATATGTATACACATATATATATATTTTCTACAGTCGCTGATAAAAATAAAACCACAAACAACATTTGAAGCGACGACAAAAAAGCAAACAACTTCCAGACTTGTGTAAAAAATATCTCAAGCGCAAAAAGGCAGAAGACAAGACAGAGGTGGACAGATAGAGAGGGGGAGGGAAAGAGAGAGAGAGAGAGCAGGAAAGATGTGCCACGAACGGGGCTTTTAATTAACATGGCTTTGTGAAAATTTAGTGAATTTCATTTGATGAAGTGGCGTGTTAATTAACATTACCCACAGCTCCAGAGATCCAGATCCATAGACTCTATTATCTCTCCACTGTATGGAGCTTATCGTAATAAGTAGTTGTAGATTACGGAGCAGTCGCTTGGAACTAATAGCTTAACATTGGATATCATGCATACATACAACTCGCCTATATGCGTGTGTATTGGTAAATGTGCTAGTATTGGTGAGCTTTAAGCACACTGCATTTCGGCACTGCGCCGAGCTTTCAGCTTGCAAGCCGTCTGTGTCTGTGTGGCATGTACGTGAGCTGCCAGTAGAAATTGTATAAGGACACTTCAATCCACATATTTGTGAGTTAAGTCAGTGTAAAATGAAATTATTGCAAATAAACTCAAAACTTTTTTAGTAAATAGCACAGCAAGAACTTATCAAATGTGTATTTAAATACATATATTTATGTTTTCTTAATAATCTTTCAATTTCATTTAACGAGGTTTGTTTACTTTTCTTTAACACAAGTTTTGCTCTTTTTGAAACTTTAGCTGACTGATTGATTGATTGATTGATTTGGATCAACGCACACCCCAAACAGTAGTCACCTTATGTGGATGTTTTCCACGCTAAGACGGGATTTCAGTAAATTCCACCCGCTAGAGTGGAATTGTGAGAAACGGTTAAATAAAACTTTTTTGATGACCATCCGATGAGCTTCAAAATGTTTGTTCAGAGATATATGTCAAAATTCATTTGATGCGCTTTTCAATAAATATCCGCTCTTGGATGAAATGAAAGTTCTATCTAAAATTTGTAGCACAAAACTTGCCACGGCAAGACTAGTATACAATTTTTGAGTAAATGTTTAGTTTTTTATTAATCCTATTATTTTTACTTTTATTCATTCTTATATTATTTTTACCATTTTTTAGATACTATATGAGAATACTTGAGATACATTTGGAAGCGCGTGTTAAGTGCGCTCGCTCTCAGAGATAGCATTTCGTTTGTTGAACAATTTCGCTTATTTACTTAGCATTATTAATGTCTGCTTATTGTTATTGTTGTTGTTTGTACTCCTTATTTGGGGCACAGCGTGTCGCTAAAAATTGTTGTACGTTTTCTTGCGTACGCGACAGTAAAATATTTTGCGCTTTTCGCTTATTTTGTATATTTTTATTGTTTGTTTAAAAAAAAAATGAGTTTATGTATTTTAAACTGACCTCATTACGAGCGGTTGCTCAAGCGATTGCCGTGTGACAAATATAACTGAAGAGTCGTT